AAATCACTGCTGAGAAAGGAGAGATTGACCCCACAGTCTGCCAGGAGCATTTTCTCCTCCCATGTCTTTCCAGTTGGAATTAAACTGAGCATTGGGAAGCAGACTTTGAAGTAGACAAGCAGACTGAATGCTTATTTGCATGACTTATGGTGAGACTTAATAAGGAAAGGCCACATCTACATTTGCTGTACAAATGAATATCTGTGATATGTATCAGAAAATATTTTTTCTTTTTACTCAGTGTGAATTTACATGTCTTTGATAGGCATTTTCTTTAAGGCGCATTTAAAATTAGTTTAATATGAACACTGTCTCAGATCAAGGCGATCCTGGGACAACCTTCTTCCACAAAACTGGTTAGCCCTAATTACAGAACCAAAAATGGAAATGGATTTAGAAAATAAAAACAGAAATGAACTACAGCCTTGAGATGATGAAATTAACAAAAAAACCCATGTATTGGGTAAATTAAGGGCCTCTCATTGTTAAATGAGTTTTGATACAGTTAAAAAACATGACTTGCTGGTTGCAGTGTAGAAATGAGAAGCAGGTCTGGCCTAATGTAACAGCCTGACTTCTCTTGCTGGCTTCTCTGGTGGGAATGATGAAAGATGATTCTTGTAAAGCTGGAAAAAGCTTGTATTTTAACCACAGGACACCTAAACCATGAGGACAGTCAGTCAGACTCCTTCTGAGACAGACCCCTGTGAAAATAACAAATTGCACTAACTCCAATATTTAAAAATGTTCCAAATTTTATTTATTATCAGTCTCAATTATCCTAAAAGCCCTCTTTCCCAAAGTAAAAATAAATAAAAAACAGTATTTCATATATAACCATTAAAAAATCCAAAAAATTAAACAAGAGCATTTATGTACATAAGCAGGAATTAATCAGGAGTTCTGAGTTAATGTCTGAGCAGGTTTCTGTGGATTTAAAGAATTTTGAACCTTTGTGATCTAATTCCAGGCTCCTTCTGTAACATTGCAGACTTTGCCTCTACAATGTTCTGCTCAAACCTTTCCTTTGATTTACTATGATCTATTACTATATCACAGCTGTTTGTTTGGGTTTTTGTTTTGTTTTGTTGTTGTTGGTGGTTTTTTTTCCATTTAAATTCTGGTTCATTTCCTCCTTTGTTGAAGAGGTTTTTTTGGTTTAGTTGCTATAGCAGAGAGAAAAAAATTCACAATAAACTGTTTTATATCCTTTTGTGTCCATGTTTTTGCTGGATAACATATATTTTCTTTCCATTATAAATTATTAAATCTATCCAGTCCTCTATAAAATGAGCAGCATCTTTGATTCAGTTATAATACAAAACATTTTTTACAATGTCAGTGTTTTGCTGTCAGTTGTTGCACAGATGAGTATTCTGGTTCTTGCCATCAGCATTTTGTTGATGTTGCAAACTTCAGGGCTGTTGGTATAAAGTATCCAGCTAAAATTGTTTCATGCTATATTCTCTGACACTGCTACTTTTAGAAAGGAAGAAAGAAAGAAACCAGTATTGTGGAAGCAAAATCATTAATGTTTCATAGACCTCTGCAGGCATCTCTAGTTAAGACATATTTTCAGCTAATGTCTTGCCACTCAATGAGAATTCCAAAGAAGTGGATCATTCATTGAAGGAGTGGATTATTTGTAAAAGGATGTACTGGATAGAGCCTCCTTATCTGAAGGATTTAAGTCCCTGTTGTTATCTACCACATCCTACTTATCTGACACAATTTTGCTGAAGAAGGAGTTGTATATATCAACTCTGAAATTGCCCCATGTGGGCAGACTTCGTATGGGCAGAGATGACTGTTCAGCTGCTCTGCATTTTCTCCTGTAGCAACAGTAAAAAAACAAACCGTTTCTGACACCCACAGGTACATTCCATCCAGACTCATTGATTTATGAATGTCCAGATTGCTTAACTGATCCCTAACCCAGTCCTCATCTACCAAAGCAAACTCCTCCTTCATCCTAACTTCTTCTGGGGCTTTAGGGATCTGGGGCTCCTGTGGAGAGTCTGCAGCAGTAAAGACAGAGGCAAAGAAGGCATTCAGTACCTCTGCCTTCTTTATATCCTGTCACCAGGGCACCCACCTCATTCAGCAGTGGGCTTATATTGCCTCTAGTGTTAGTTCTGTTTGCTATGTATTTGAAGAAGCCCTTTCTATTGTCTTTGACCTCACTTGCAAGGTTTAGTTCCAAGGAGGCCTTAGCTTTCCTTATTGACTCCCTATATCCTCTGACAACAGTCCTACCTTCCTCCAAGGTGGCCAGCCCCTCCTTCCATGATCTGTAGATTCTCTTTTTCCACTTGAGTTTGCCCAGCATTTTGCCCAGCAGTTCCAGACACCTGCTCTCTTTTCTTTAGGTTTGTATTGCTATTACGTGCAGTAGAAAAAGTACTTGAGGACTTTTCACTCGAAAAGTAGGTGCAAAAAATGTAGCAGCAGCACAGAGAAGAAATAACTTTTCCAGCTGTGTGATACAGTTCCTGAGTTTTCTAACTGCAGGTAGGAGCTACCAAAACTGCTTTTCTTGGCACACATGTTTGTGACTAAAATTCAACCACACTTTTTGAAGAAACATCTACAAAATTTGAATACAGGCAATTATATTCTACTTATGTAAAATCCTCCTTCCCAGCTGAGCTAAGTATAATTTATTATAACAGAAAAAACAGGTCCCAGTATCAGAATGACCTGTATAAGGAATAGTGTGACCAGCAGCACCAGGCAAGTAATCCTGCCCCCTTACTCAGCCCTGGTGAGGCTGCACCTTGAGCACTACGTGCAGTTTGGGGCACTGCAGTATAGGAAGGACATTGAGGTGCTGGAGAGGGTGCAGCAACTAAGGGCAACTAAGCTGATTAGGGGTCTGGAGAACAGGTCTTATGAGGAGAGGCTGAGGGAGGTGGGGCTGCTCAGCCTGGAGAAGAGAAGGCTGAGGGGAAACCTCATTGCTCTCTATAACTACCTGAAAAGAGGTTGTGGTGGGGTGGGCGTTGGCCTCTTCTCCCCAGTCACCAGTGATAGCACAGGAGGAAATGGGGTCAAGTTGCCCCAGGGGAGGTTCAGATTGGATATCATTAATAATTTCTTCGCAGAAAGAGTGATGAGGCATTGGAACAGGCTGCCCAGGGAGATGGTGGAGGCACCATCCCTGAAGGTGTTAAAAAAATGGGTGGACGTGGTGTTTCAGGAGATGGTTTAGTAGTGAAGGGTTGTAGGGCAGAGAGTTGGACTTGATGATCTTAAAGGTCTTTTCCAAGCTTAAAGATTCTATGATTTTATGGTTCTATGATAACGAATAATTTTTACCACAAATCACAGCAACCCCATCCTGACTGAGAAAAGGTATTAACAACTATTTGACAGAATGAGATAAAAGTGAGACTTCTGTGAAATTACTGAACATGTAGCTCTTAAAGTATTTATCTGACTTACTGTTTCTCAATATCTGTTCTGTTACTGAGGGTTACCTCAGTAAACCCAGTGCCCAAAACCTACGCCGAAACCTGCGTATGTTAAAAAAGAGATGGAGTGCCATCTTGTGGATGCCACAAGAACACAAAAATTTATTCCGGAAAAGAGCAGTAATTAAAAAGGAATGGAAGTAAGCAAGTATACATCTTCTTATATACAACTAATTACTAAAGGCATAATTAATTATTATCAGGGAGAAACATATTAGGAGCGATATAAAGGTTCCTACTTCACGATTTTTGTTTGTTTGTTTGTTTTGCATCTGAAATAAACTAAATATTCTAGCTGTGAGTGGTCACATTGTTAAGGTCTGTCATTAGATATCTAAGTAGCAACTTCAATATTTGGGCTTAATATCGGAGATCCTTCCATTAATAAATATCAATAAAGAAAACTTTTTTGCAACATCTCTCTCTCCATCCTGTGAGGCAGCAAAACAGCATGCATGCAGTACTTAGAACTTTTTTTCCCCCCTACTTTTCCTTCTTTTATATGTATTACTATACCTCTTTTCCTTCAGATGGAGTTCTAAACAATAACTCTGCAAGTCAGTCAAAGTTACACAATCTGAAGCAATAATTTAAAATTTTAGCATTAAACAGATGGTGGTGAAGTAGGATGAGAGAAAAAGAGAATTAGAGAGAGGGCAAATTTGAGCTGGAATAATCTTTAAAGTAATGTTGGCTTTATCATATAAAATAACTCGTGCTCACAGATCCATGAATTGGTAGCATTCAGCATTTAGTGGTGTGACATCACCAGTTTCTCAAGACAGTTCCATATCACGAGAATAAACTGGCAACTGTCAGCTTCAATTGCAATTAGATATGAACACATTACAGGTACTTACACTTCTTCTCCTTATAAAAAATTAGTCAACAGAATTAAGTCCAACAGCACTTTTGTAGCTAGTTGTATCGAGCTGGTAGAGATGGCAATTGTGCCATGTGGGAGTAACTAGAAATGACCGGGAATTCACGTCAATGATTCTGATGATTTTTCAAGGTACTGATACATGCTTTTACAGAAATGTGTAAATACACTGTAGCAGTCCTGCAGAAAATGACCAAGATTTGTTTGCCATATGTGCCACGAACACTGGAGACTGAATGTGCCATCTTGAATACCACCTACGCAAATGTAATTTATTTGAGCAGGCCCATAGAAAAGAATCAGCTGGGCGTGTTAAAGCAGGGTAGCAACACACCTACAACATGGAAAGTGACTGGAAAAAGAAAGCTAAAGAAGTGTTGAGGGGGCCTTTACTTTCCCAGACAGAGTGCAGACAGGATGAGTGTTCCTGTCTGGATGTAAAGTCCTGAAGGGAATCCCTGCATTACTAGGCTGTCCAACCACGGGAGAGCACAAACCATTTTTCTTTAGCAAGCTACTACCGTTCGCCACAATTACCTACCGAAGCAAATAAAGAGAAAACAACCATTTTTCGCAGATTACACCAGATGTGTGCTGCACTCCGAAGCGTTTGAGCTTTTCTGAAAGAAAAAAGATCACCCAGAATGACTGGGGAAGAAACGTGCGGGGGACCCCGGGGCGGGCCGGGCTGCGGGGGCTGCGCATCCCCAGGGGTGTGCGGGGGCGGGGCCGCCCGGGCGCGGAGCCGGGTCTGGGCTGCGGGGCGGCGGGAGCGGGGCTCGGGGGTGACAAAGAGGTGTAAGGCAGATCATGCGGAGATTCAGAAGCAAAGCAAGTGCGGTTCTCCTAACGAGAAGTGTATTTCCTGTTGCCATTCTCTTGTTTGGCTTTCCCGGATAATTAAAATGGGTCTCAGTCTTCAAGATAGACTGAAGTCGGCAGGCATTTAGCACGAATCCTAGCAGGCAGAAAAACCTCCTCTAGCAAATACTGAGGAACTGGGCGTGCGACAACATCTGCTAATATAAATTTAGCTTTTTTTCCTTGTTGTTTTTTTATATGGCTTATTAGTATCCAGGAATGTGGCAAAGAAGTTTTTTCTGCTTGTGAACTAGGATAGGAATGTACTAACTGTAAATTCTTTAAAACCAGCTTGAAACCTTGCATGGAGAGCTCTACACAGGTGTCAAGTTAAAGTAGCACAGTTGTTTGGCTAAAGGCTTTGATTTATTCCCCTCAGTCAGAAAGGAACTTATTTTATTTCAGATTCTAACAAAATCTTGTATTTTCCCAAATATGAATAACCGAAAAGGTAACATGAAAAAATTGGCAATTGGCAAAAATATTCTTTTTTTTAGATTTTTTTTTTTTTTTTTATTAAAAAAATAATTTGAACAGAGTAGAATAGAATATGTGTAACTATGACATAGTATGTGTAGGAGAAGTGGTAACTGGTATTACCCCAGAGACTATGTTTTATGAGGCGCTTTTCTGGTTTATACTTTTCAAGTGTCATGTTGCATCACCATAATCATCGGTGTTGTTAGAAATAGTGTATAGACAGAACTTGGCTTTTAGGCGCTTGATAATTCCGTGATGCACTTTACTTACACAAATGTACACTTTCTAAAATTTTTGCAGCTAACTTTTCTGAGCAAGTCGTCGAAAGCTTTCCACCTGATATATCTACTGGTGTATACTATGGATGGGCCTGTGTTGGAAATGGAGATGTGCATAAAATGGTTTTGAGCATAGGATGGAATCCTTTCTATAAGAATATTAAGAAATCAGTGGTAAGAATTTTGCTTTGTATGGTACTTTGATGATAATAAATGAGCCAGACATTGAGTAAGATAAGCAGAATTTGATCTGTAAATGAGAACATACATTCTGTTTGCTGCTAGAAATGTATTTGGTATCCATCTCAAATGTTTATTATCTGGGGAGAAAAAAAAAATCCATCCCAAAAGACTTCTCAGTAGCCACATGCAGATGTAGATAAATAAAATTTATTTATATTGGCCTTTATATATTGCTAAATAAACATGAGCTTAATAGATTTCTTCAGAGTTGGAACACACTAACATGTTACCATCTGCAATCCATCTGCGTTTGAAGTACACGGTACTGGGAGAGCTTTATTTGTAATGATTTTCCAGTAATTCTTCTCTTAAATGGTGGAAACCATACATGTGGTGCTATGGCTTAACATACGGAGTCAAGATCAAAAAATAAATAGTAAGAAGACAGAATTAAGAATGTAGTATCCGTGTTTTTCTTGCTGACAGGTGCTGGTACTTTCCCTAAGTCTTGCAGAACTTGGTTTTAATCACTAATACTTGGAAGCAGTTTTATTTTGAGAAGAATCCCTGCTTCAAATATAGCTGCCTTCATTCTTCTTTGTCACTCAATTCCTGTGAGTTGCTTGGCAAAAGCTCTCTTTAAAAAACAACTGTTTCAATCCAATTAATTGAAGTTATTTGGTCTCAAAAACTTAATAATTAAATAAATCTAGGGATTATTTTTTATTTGCTGCCTTGAAAATGTTACTTCTGAAATAAATATCACAGTGTTCTTAAATGCCATGCAAAGTACAGTTATCTACTAACATAGTCAAAAGATCCAGCTGCTTAATGTTGCATTATGCATTTTAGAGGAAGTGTATCAGTTTTCCTGATATGAATGAAATCATTCAAATCAGAGGTTTAGCTCAACATCCTTGCTATAAGGGAAATTTAAAAAAAAAGTGTATTTGTCAAGATATTTATCTTCTTTTAGGAAACACACATTATCCACACTTTCAAAGTTGACTTCTATGGAGAGATTCTCTGAATTGTCCTTCTTGGATATATTCAATCAGAGAAAAACTTCAGTTCTTTAGGTTAGTATTGCAGGCAGGCCTCATAAACTAATGTTTATGAGCCATATGAAATTTAACAAGAGTACCTGCAACAGGGTAATCCTGGTTACACGAACAAGTTGGGGGACAAGAGGCTGGAGAGCAGCTTGCAGAAAGAGATCTTGGGGTTCAGGTTGGTGGCACGTTGACTATGAGTCAGTGGTGTGCCCTGGCAGCCAAAAGGGCCAACCATGTCCTGGGGTGCATTAAGCACAGCATTGCTGGCCAGTGAAGGGAGGTGACTATCCCACTCTGCACTGCACTGGAGCTGCCCCACCTCGAGTCTGTGTGCAGTTTTGGGCACCTCAGTCTAAGAATGACATCAAACTATTAAAGTGTGTCCAGAGGAGGGAGACCTAGATGGTGAAAGACCTTGAGGGCAAAACATGGGACGAGTGGCTGAGGTCACTTTTTTGTTTGGCTTGGAGGGAAGAAGGGTGAGGTGTGACCTAATGGCAGTCTACAAGTTCCTTACCAGGGACAGTGGAGCAGGATGAGCTCATCTCCTCTCTCTGGTCCAATGACAGGATACAAGGAAATGGAATGAAGCCATGTTGTGGCTTAGGCCTGACAGGACACCAAAGGAACTGCCACATGACTGCTCACTCAACTCCACCCCCCCACACACACTCTGGGATGAGGAGTAAAAAGCTCCTGGGTTGAGACAAAGAGAAGGAGGTTCTTCACCAGTTAAGATCCTGGGCAAAACTGACTCAACTTGGGTAAAAAAAAAATAATTTAATTGCACACTCATCAGACACACACAGGACACAGACAACACACAGAGCAGGGCTTGCATACGTTACCCCACTCCTCCCTTCTTCCCGGGCCCAAATCACTTTGTTCCCAGTTTCTCTCCCTCCTTCCCCCCAGCGGCACAGGGGGACAGGGGATGGGGTTTAGAGTCAGTTCACAGGCTGGTGGTTCCTGCTGCTCCTTCCTCCTCAGGAGGAAGGATTGCTTACAGTCCTCCCCTGCTTCCCCACAGGGTCACTCCCATGAGAGAGAGTCCTCCACAAACCTCTCCTTCATGAGTCCTTCCCACGAGGTCCAGAGCTGCTCCAGCCTGGGCTTTCCACAGGCTCACGGGCTGCTTCAGGAACAAACTCCCCTGTCACCGGGGTCTTCCAAAGCTGCATAATCAGAGTCCACTGGCAGCAAATCCACTGGCCACAAAATCCAAGTCCACTGGCCAAGTTCACCCCTCCTGGCGC